TATATATATATATATATATATATATATGTGTGTGTGTGTGTGTGTGTGTGTGTGTGTGTGTATATATTTTTTTGTTACGTAGAAACGTATCTTTGTCTCATGTATAAGAATTTTATGGAAATAATCATATTCTGTATTTTAAGAAAGGTAAGATTCTCCAAGAATGACGAGAGTTGTATTCAAAACATAAAATTTAACATATCTTGCTCGTGTCTATTTTACTCATCGTTTTACAGACAACTGCAATCTGGGTGTTTTTTTTTTCTGTACTTAGGATTACCTAATCGGAATGGCTTCAAACATGCTAGTGAGATAGCAACTGCTGCTATCGATATCTTATACCACATCAATACCCTCGCAGTACCTGCATATCCAAACAGGAAATTCAGTATAAGAATTGGAATACACACCGGTTTGTTAAATTTTTTTCTCGTTGACAAATTGTTACTGTATTTATTTTCATTCTCTCTTCTTAGCAACCTATTTTATACGTGCAATAGTTGTAAAAGTAGGCTTGATGAATTGAACGGCATAGGCCTGCATATATGGTAAAGACATGTCCGCATGCGATAAATGACACGCTGTTCTGAAATTCAGAACGGAATAATAAGAAATATGAACTGGCCAATAAGAAACTGGAAATTGTAAACGCGTACGTGTGATTGGTTGATGATAATAACGCGCTCACTTGCTAACCGATAGCGCTTGCTAACCGTTAGCTGTATCCGAATACCGCTAACGGTTAGCGTTAACTGATCGGGCGTTCTCACGGAGGTGCTAACGGTTAGCGCTAACGGTTAGCTCCCGATTCGGGTACTAGGGCTCTTGTGAGAACTGCAGGCGTAACTTTTCTAAGCCGGGCTTTAATCGTTGCATTGACTTCCGGATAACAAAATGACCAATTAGCATTCAATTACGTACGCTGTGAGCGAGCGTACGTACTTTTCGCGAGCAATGTTTTGAACACGTTTCCTGGTTACGGTTCATTATTATGCAAATTCTCGCCTGGCTAAACCCGCTAGTCTGAACGCCCGGCAAAGTTAAGCCAGGCTCAACGTTGAGCCGGGCTTAACTCAAGCCTGGCTTATCTCCAAGTCTGAACGTAGCCATAATTAGTTTTGGTATCCTGATCGGGATTTTCTCGTATGGACGCACAGCAGCTAACGGTTAGCAGGATCCGGATCCTGCTAACCGTTAGCAGCCGTGTGAGAACATAAGCCATGTCGTCTTGTGGGATCTTAGCAACAATATCCAAGGGGCAGGGCTTAGCGGAAAGGTTCATTGATTGAATAACCAATAACTGACATGAACCGTAACCAGGAAACGTGTTTCAAAACATTGCTCGCGAAACGTACGCTCGCTCACAGCGTACGTAAATGAATGCTGATTGGTCATTTTGTCACCCGAAGTCAATGCAAGACCCCCCGCAACGATTAAAGCCCGGCCTAGAATATTTGAACACGGTGGCTCCAGGCCTAGTTACTATATAGGAACACAGCCCGGCTTGAGATAAGCCACCTAGTTCAGACTGGCAGGTGGATAAACCCGGTGAGTTGAGCCGGGTTTATCCACCTAGTCTGAACTAGGCCTAAATAATAATTGGATGATGGATTAAATAATGAATTGGTTTATTCACTGACTGACTGACTGACTGACTGACTGACTGACTGACTGACTGACTGACTGACTGACTGACTGACTGACTGACTGACTGATTGACTGACTGACTGAATGATTATTGTTTGATTGAATATACAGTACATTACAATAATAATTTCACTTTACTCATGTCGATAGGTCCGGTTGTGGCAGGTGTAGTTGGTCTGAAAATGCCGCGTTACGGTCTTTTCGGCGATACCGTTAACATTGCGTCACATATGCAAACAAATGGAATGGGTTAGTTAGTAGTAATAGTAAAATAGATAATAGTTATGATATTGGTACTATAATAAATTCTATTATACGTCCTTACTTACACTACAATATAATATATTGATATACATTATACTGTATATACTTACGGTTATAAAAAAAATGCCAAAATATAATAATGTATCTATCATACAGCGCAAGATGGTCTAAAGTTTATATCTTTACATTATTATTAGGCCTATTTATTATTACAGTATTATTATTATTATTATTATTATTATTATTATTATTATTATTATTATTATTATTATTATTATCATTATCATTATCACTCATAGATTTATAATCGTTACCGGTACCGTTTACAATGTATATATTGTTATGTTGGTTATATAAGTTAAATATTATTTTCTTTCCAATAAAATGTATAGCAAACCATATTCACATTAGCAGAGATTGTTATCTAGTTTTGTCGGAATTTGGAAAATTTTCAATGCTGTCACGTGGTAGAATCAAGATAAAGGTAATAATATGCAGCTCTTCGAGTAATAAATTGTGTATTTTGTATCATATTGCATAGGAGATCGCAACAGCTCGATTTTTAGACCTAAAAGCATTTTTCTTAAGGGTTCATGTTATGTCTAACCTGTGCAGCACAACATCAGTTATGGATTGGATTGGATTTATTCTGTGTAAACACCAAGAACTTATTTCCAGTGGGGTCCTTCTGGTGGTGATTGAACAGTACACCGGGCGACAATCCCCACTTTTTTTCCGAATAGTGTACAGCGTTCTTTAACGTGCACACGGGACCAACGGCTTAAACGTATCACCCGAAAGACGGTTTAACTTGCATTTCAGCAACAAGGAGAGCAGCGATGGGAAACGAACCGGGGGACCTAGAGATCTCCACGGCTCAGCCCACACATAGTGGCTACCACCAGTTTAGCCGACTAAGTTAAGCTTCTCTCAAATGTTATGTCCAATTTTCAATCTTTTCAACTTTTCATCAACGCCAGCTTTACGTTTTTATTTTTAGTGAGAGCTTCACTAAACAAAGAGGAGCAGTATTGTTATTTATGTTTTCAAAAAAAAAAAAAATACAAAAAACAAAGGATGAACAATTGACCACATTCACCTCAAGTGCACTTTTTCTTTCTTTCTTTCTTTTTTTTTTTGGATCCAGTTTTTGATCCAGGTATCTTTGTTTTGTTCTGTTATATAAAATTTAGTATCGAATTCCCAAGCCTAAAAACTTAAAATCGGAAGAATCCACTCTTGTCTGCTTAGTGAAACTTACCTTTCTCGGGCCCGGGGAAGAGAATACATTATTTTGAATCTAGTGGCGTGGAAACGCGCTGTTAGCCCTCGTTCCTCTTTTATTATTTCTGTTAATTCACCGAAATCTAAGAGGTTATCCTTGTCCGTGGGACAAGCGCGTACTTCTTGTCCCTTTTCTGATTGGTAAGTAGTTTGCTTACCACATTGGGAAGGCCCATTTAGATCATGTTTTCTCTGCACTCGTTTATTGTTCCAGTTCATAACTTTTGTATTACAGCATCAATCACTGATAAATGTTCCCGTGTAAATAACTGGTATTATAGAATTAGTATTTTTGGTTTTGGGGTTTTTTGCATTTTCAGTGTATTAAGTAAATGTTTTAAACTCTTAATTAGTACATTGTATTGTACCTTAAGTACCTTAATTACTATTTGTTATTTATTAATTATGTTTTTATTATTGTAATTCATTGTATACCTTATTATTTCTGTAACAGTATAGCCTATTTTTTTAACACTGTTGTTGAATTTGTGTTGTTTTAGGAAAAACAAATGATGGAGACGTATTGGCTAATGGGGCGTGACGACTTTAGTCGAATCATCAATATAGACGATATCCAGTCGATTAGTACAACTGGTGTAAAAGTCCATGAGCATCGTTACAAACACATGTACGACCAAGTGTGCACGGGTAGGATCCAAGTGCGTGATACGTTGTCATCTTTAATGACGTGTAATTTATGAAAAGAACATGCGAGTGTTCGCAATTTCCGCACAAGTGTTTTTAAGCACTAGTGGATTTACATTCTCGTGTGTCTTAAATTCAGGTTTCGCGGAGGAATAAGAGGATATTAGATATTTTGTAAATATTCAAGACTTAAGATTTAAGATTCATTTATTGACACATCTATTAAAAAATACAGATTATAAAATGGAAATTCGTTGTTTGGATAAGAACATTTAAAATAGTAAACAAAACACAAAGTATATAATAACATTGATAATTGCATAGGCCTAATAAATAAAATATATTGTGACATGAAATGCATACAAAGATATTCTAAGACATTGAAAGGGTGGCATGTGATTTTGAATTTACTAAACTGGGAAAAACTTTGGATGCCTTAATAGGCCTAATACAAATTGAAGCTCGTAATTTATTAGCCATCCATGATTTCTTTTTAAAACTGAGGCCAAGAATCTAGATGCTAGATTATTTTAGAAAAGGCAATACAATATAATTATCATTGTAGGTGTAGAATACCGGGATCATTTATGTTGATGGTACAGGTATTGACTATGATGTAGGCTTATGTGTAACCTTACTGTATGACGTCAAAAGTGTAGTCTTTTATTGGTAAACCGTGATGTGAATATTTCGATATGATTAAATATTATGTCTATTACTGTTAAATTATTGAATTCTCAATGAACTTGTGTCTGTCTTTGGAAGAATTTGTGAGCACTTGTAACACAAATGATCCTTCCACACTGATCGCCCTGTAGGGATCCTCAATAATCCGAAAGCTACAGTATGTATGCATCTCTGTGAATATTGCTTTACAAATGTTTATTTACATTTACAGTACAGTGCACCTTACAATTCGATGCCCCTCTAATTCCAATACCCCTCTAATATAGGACCACTTATTTAAAGAACCAGATAACAATTGTAAATCTTTTAACATAAATCTAAACCTTTAATAGGAGACCGAACCCCAAGATCACCCCAAATTTTCAGTCATTTATATTATCTTGCTACAAGAATTTGTTATCATCTGACACACACATGGATGTCCTGAAATGTTTCTTGAAACATTTGAAGAGGAACGGAAACCAGTCACTATCTGTCATTTTATTGATGTTTTTTATTTTCTTGACTGGAAAAAGGCGCGCTGTCTCACACAGCTCATTTACCGTAAACCGACCCACACTGACATTCACTTACCCAAATGATCGTTCCATCACCATTTTAATAAGAAAGGGGTTTGTAATAGACTAAGTAGGAGTCAGTAGAAGGGCACACCATCAGTGATTTTCAGACCCTTCAATATGAAACTATATTCATAAACCACTGAAACACAATGGCTACCAATCGAATGACATAAAACACCGAACAGGCTATTTATTATGTTTACCTTAAGGCCAACTCAGACAGCGTCGGCCGACGCAGCCCAACCCGATTTATCGTCGGGGACAGTCTTAAGCCGTCGTGAGAAATGTCTTGGAAATATTAAACACGTTTAATATTCTACTACGCGACTGCCCCCGACGCACCATCGCGTCTGCGTTCAACTCACACAGACCCGACGCGACAACAAATCGCGTCGGGCTGCGTCGGCCGACGCTGTCTGAGTTGGCCTTTAGACATTCACATCAAATAAAGTTTTTTTTTTCCTTCAAACATTTCTCTGTTGTCTGTTGTCTTCTATCTTCAACTATTAAAACGGTTCATCGCCCGTATACAAGTAAACCGCAGACACCACAACAATAACCTGAGACAACTAGGCCTACATAAAAGTTTGTACATTCATTCCAATAGCTCGTTAAAGTTACTATTGTTTCGTCCCCAAGAAAAAAGTTGACTTGTCTGTCCTAAGTATTCAAAATTTAAGTTGGTCTTTTAAAATAACATCTAAGACTTATTATCTTAACCACTCACAACAAATCTCCGAACATCATAGACTAATAATTCAATTCAATTTATTCAATTAAATTTATTTAAAAAAAACCCTCCAAACAAGGAGAAGCATACATAAAAACACGTTCAAACATTGGAAATAAAACATTGACTTAAATTATAAAATTTCAAATAATTTAAACACAGAATAAGGTTACTTAACTTGCATCTACGAGCAGAATTTTAAAAGGTAATCTTCCTATATAAACGTACATACAATAATACAGTATTTTATATAAATACATGATGAAATAGTAGTATAATTATTATAAAATACAAGATTATAGTATGTTATCCAATCACAAAAAACTTCACCACGTTGTTATAGTGTTAAAAGATTAGAAGCCTTGGAGATCCTGATTTCGATTTATATTATGTTCACAATTTTTACTGAAAACGGGGCATTTTTGTGTTGGGTTTGAAAAAGGACCACCACCAAACAATTGAAAAGCATACGACCAAATCAGGACATGTGGCCCCTCCTTCGTTTTGCTACTAAATTTCAATGATAATTAATGTTATGTATTGAAATAAGAAAAAAAATAATAGAATACAGTACAAATACGTGCCTCCACCACACGTTTGAAAAATTCTGGATCCGCCCGTGCAGATTTGAAAGCGTCCATACCGGGGCACACGCCCCTACCACGTTTTGCCACTAAATTTCATGCAAACCAATGTCATATATTGAAATATGAAAAAATACAATACTGTACAGTTCAAATACAGGTATAGTTTTTCGGTAATTGAAAAGGGGGTTATTGATAACCATCTAGCTAATAGAAAATGAGATTCAACAAATATTTCCCTCCCTAGACAGTTGGTTTTGCAACCGATATTGTATTGGGAGCAGCTTATGTGTCAACGATATGTCCCCATCAGGATCTGGACCTGGATAGTTTATACTTTCAAAACAATTTTGAGTAGAATAGACAATACTTGGATTGACTTCCGACAGTTTGAGTACCTAGCAAAGTAGTTTGGGATTTCAAGCAAATGAATAAATACAGTATTGCAAAACTAAAAAAAAAAAAAAAAATATTTTAACATGCCATCTTCATTTTACATTCAAAATTGACTTGGTTCACTGGCAGTTCATTAACTTACTTGAAATGCGTCATTAGTGGAGGCTTCGAGCTTCCTGCATCCCCATAACAACCGTTACTTCAAACAAATTACAGTATTATCAAAGCCCCACACAGTTGCTTATATATAGGTCGATGTGCCTCTGGATTGACAATGATTTTTTTAATGGTCAAATAAATAAACAAAATGAAAGAAAAGACTCTTCACAGTATTTTCTTTAATGACTTTAACCATGCAATATATACAGGTTATGTTAAAATTAAAATAATCCTGTCATGTACCACGCAGTCAAGCAACAAAAGCCAAGCCACAGCTTTTTAAACTGATGTCTCAAGCTCTGTCCAGATTATCAAATTTTCTTTGACAAAAAACTTTTTTATGCCCATATATAGTCATGATGTGACTATACATGGTTATGTGATGTCATCATGACCATATTTAGGCATGTCACATGTTCTTATCCAATAAAATTTGAGAGTCTGGACAGGGTCTAATAATAATAATAATAATTTCAGATTAAAAACTTTCATCAGTTGAAAAAGCTTTGGAGACTAGTTTAGCCGTAGGAGGCACTCAGCACTAGCGACCGGCATGGGTAGAATTGCTAAGTAATGAATGGATATCACATGCTATTATAGTGCCAGAAATGATTAATAATTGGTCAAGCATTTGGAACATTCATTTTAGAGAATACATGCTCATATAACTTCAATTTTTGAAAATCAAATGCATTGGTTTCTTATATTACACACAAATATCTTAAAATTGATTGAAATAATTGAATCATATCTGGTCACTGCAGGTCTCACTGTGGAATTATGTGTTGGATATTATACAACCAGCCTATTGATCTTCAACCATATATAATGGTTATTAAGACTTGCGACACAGCTGTTAATCATAATTACCAGGTGTTTGATTGATAGCCTCAAACAAAACTGGTGCCTGAACTAATTAAAGTCATTCAGAAGGAGATTACAATAATAACAATTTATATAGCTTTGCTATAGAAAAGGGCACAAATATTATATTGCCCATAACAGTGAGTGTAAATTTCAACGTATGGAATATTGATAATTATTTATGCACACTGACGACTATGCTTAAATATTATTTATAAGAAAACTATACTGCTAACTAGTAAAATGGCATCCAGCATCCAGTGTCACACCAGTACTGTGCATATTATAAAAAATATCATCAAGCATCTTGTTTCAAATAAAAAGCCATTAAAATCATGTACATCCAAAAGTGTGGAATTTGGATTAGTCTACAAATGGCTATTACAATTTATAGCATATTGATAACACATTTCATCTGCGATTTTTGGGAGAAATAGGGTTTGAACTATGTGTCTGTAATCATCTGTTCCGCATCTCGACATTTTGAGTGAAGTAACTCTCTCCTGACTTCAGGGGTGATGCTTTCATGAGTGTGTGCCCTAAGTAGGTCCATCAGTGCCTCTTTCTGTTCGTTTGATATATCCTCTTTATAACGCTGCACAAAGGTTAATAAACTCTGATGCCACAAGACTGGTAACTCCCTTTTATCGCTAACAAACCTAGAATTTAAGAAAGGTATTTTTCAGTTATCAAATATCCGAAAAAATTTAAAATACAATACTCATTTATTTAAATGAAAGAACCTGAAATTAAGCAGGAATGATTACTCAAAACGCAAAGCCAAAAACCAACATCTACCAAATGAGCAAAGTTGATGCTCATGTGAGTTTCTTACCTATCAGGTCCAATGCGGCCTGCTGTGGTATGGCAAACCTGCTAATGACTGGCACTCTGTATCTTAAACTGCGGTGGTTGACCTTTCCTATCATTGGACTCTATTTCTACCCCTCCTGTTATACACCTAACTACACTTTTGGAGTCCTTAGGAGGCCAGCTTTACCCACCAGAATCAGCATAATAAGCCATTGGTGTGTTTTGGTCACATGCAAGTCATCGAGTTAAAAATTATTTTATCATTATAAATTTAAATTTTACCTTATAAAATGGTAAACAACGGCATCAATGACCCGGTATGGTAAAGCATACTTCTTATCTAATAACAACTTGAGAAATATACTGTTGGCACCGGTGTAGTCCATTTCAGAAATCTTGAGCAAAGCAGCACTTGGTAGATAGGTGTTGCAGTCATATTATTAAAACATCATTGTAGACAATTCAAATGACAACCAATATTTTTATTTTATTTTTTATTTTGATTTATAGTGCTTTTCCGAGAGACAAATTACTGTACAAAAACAGATTTTTTTTTACCTGATTGAGTGCACTGAGATGTTTGTAGGGTGCTCAAGCAAGCATGCATATATTATTATTATTATTATTATTATTATTATTATTATTATTATTATTAACTATAAATAGATGGTGTTCCTGTTCACAATTTGCAAATATGCATCAGTGGAAGATGTCTGCATAAAAATTATCAGTATCTGCATCAAATAGCACAACACTTTTTTAGACAGCAACAATGCTACCAACATGGTCCTTACCTCACACAATGGTAAAAGAATTCCTTTGAAAAATGCAGCAGGCTTAAACAGAGATTTCTTCAAAGCCTACAAAAGAAAAAAACATTAAGGAAATGAAAAGACTAGTAAATTCTACGAAACTCCATACCGGTACATTTATAGGTGCTCTGTTTTACATTTTAGACTGACACACAGCATTAGGCAAAACAACTGCCATATTCTTCATCTCAGAATAGATATACATTAAATAACCCTCAAAAAGTAACAAAATTAAGTTTCTCCTTTTAATGATCAAATTATATATCACTTCCAACAAGAAACTGAACAAAACAATTAAATTTTGCACTGAAAAAAATACTTAAATTGATTACTGGCCTCCATGTAGGAATACTATTAATTTTAAGTCATTAAATACAAAGAACGCAATAAAATTATTGAAGTGCTCAATACAACTGAAAAATATTTGATTGTTTCTTTCGAAATTAATGATACTCATTTTGACAAGCGATGACTAAATAAAAAATTTCAGTTCCGAAAAAATAAATCACTATGCTAGACAAAGGTCAAACCTTTTTTCTTGTATTTTCAATAACACTGCCACAATTTATTTCCTATGACGCCAGTCTATGCTAAATATGTGAATATAAGATATTAAGACGTGACCTAACATTGCTAATGTTGTGCAATAATACATGTACTCTATAGCATACAAACTGGTATGTACATTTTAAATGAAATCTAATTTGTGTGTTAAATACTGTGAAATTTTTTTTTAAACATTTATAATATACCGAAATAAATACAGTATTTAAAATTTAATCAAAGATGGAGGGATAACATCCTCACATACACTGGAACAACAAACTTGCAACAGCGGCAATGGACAGAAAAAGATGGCTAATGCTGGAGGAGGGCTTCACACAGCAGTGGGTGAAACAACCTGATTTTTTAGTAGTACTTTATGTATAAGCCAACTGCCTTGAGCATGGAATTGGGTTGAGTCAGCTATCCCAGCGGGCTAACCTATGCTAGATAGGTCTAGCCTACTGTAGAACTCACAGAGTCCATACATCTCATGCTAAATTTCAATGTACTTTATCTCATATTATTTCAAAATCTCTAAAACCAATTTATAGTAAGTGTATCGATGTGCATAAACATATAAGAAATAATTATAGAAAATATAGTACCATGTAAAGATGAAAATTTAATCTCTTGTACTCTGCAATATCATCTCGAACACGTGGAAGCAGCACCAAGTTAAAAAACCTGATCAAAAATGGAGGAAATGACAAGAAGCACATAAAATATTACTTCAAGGTTGCATGCCATGGCTTCTGCTTAAAATAGTACTAAATCTTTTGTCCTCAATTACTAATGACATTATTCAGGACAACAAAAGGTAAATTCTGTGATTAATCATACAAAATAATTATTCACAATGTTAAGGTCAGGAGAAATGAGATTGTATTGCACAGGTCTCACCGATCCACAATCTAGGGTCGCCTTTCAATTTTTTCTTGGCAAAACTATGTTTTTATCCTAAAAGCTACAGAAACACACTTGATTAATGTGTGAAAAAAATAAAACTCATTCTTTATAATTATCTGGGTATGTTTGCGAGATATCACTATAATCGACCCTTCATTTTCAGGGGTGTTAGTGCACGTAACCAATTTCCAGTTATAAGATATATTTATGAATATTAAATGCACTCTGGTGAGTGAGCCGATAGGAATTTAATGCTACCATTTTGACTTAGGTTTGGAGTAACACAAAAAATATATCCTGGCCAAAATATGTAGTACAGTACATCAGGTATAGTTTGTGACCATCATAAACACAGGAACATTTGCATTTTTACAGAATGCATAAAAAGTGGTAAACCATTTCTGACCTTTGTGCCATCTTTGCATTTAAATTACTGGCAAATATTCTAGTAGCTTGGTACATAGCAGCAGCTGTCCATTTCTCAGGTTCAGTCAAATACAAAACCTGAAAATCAACACTTAATAAAAATTACTCATACAGTTTGCCCTCCAATTCGCGACATCCTTCAGGACGTGAAAATTTGGGGTGGTCTCGGGGTTGGTCTCCAATTAGAGGGCTAGCTTTGTGTGCTAAACGGTTGAAGATTGTTATTTGGGTCTTTGGAAAAGTGGTCTTGAGTTAAAGGGGTCTCGGATTTAGAGGGGTCTCGAATTGGAAGGTGCACTCAGTACGCCCTCTAATTCGAGACCACTTTGGGACGTGAAAATTTGGGCTGGTCTTGGGGTTCGGTCTCCACTTAGAGAGCTAGCTTTGTGTTAAAAGATTGAACATTGTTAATTGGTTCTTTGAAAAAGTGGTCTCAAATTAGAGGGGTCTCGGAATTAGAGGGGTCTTGGAATGGATGGTGCACTCTATTTATTTTTTAAACGTATGTATATCTACCCATAATAATATAGTATGACATATTTGAAGCCTAATTTTGTTTTATTATATACTGATTTATAGAGATTCTATTTTCATTTGTCTACAATGCTGTGCAATGATAATTTCCCTGTTCATTAAAAACAGAATTAATCATTTAAAATAAGAAACCTCCTTTAATTGGAATGCCTATCCATATCCGTCTACCCCAAAGGGTGGATAAAGCATGCACATCATAATTACCATTGTTACTACCATCATTATTATAATTATGTTCATCATCACTACCAATGCCACCATCTTTATCATCATCATTTCAACCAGCACCATCATCATTCTCATCACCAACACACCCGTTCTCATCATCACAAAACAGCCCCATCATCTTCCTCATCAATCACCTCAATATTATAACATTAAATTTTACCTGTTCCCATGCCTGTAAACTTGGAACAATCTTGAATGCTTTCGGTAGCTTACCACTGCGGTACCTACTAAGAATCTGCCCGACACCTTTGTACACTCCAGTAAGCCTAGGATCCATGTCAACAACTTGAGTACTCATATCTTACAGGACAAAAAACATGAAAAGAATATAGAATTTAAATCAAATCTATAAATTTTATCTTATAAATTAATAAACAAGGTTACACGGATTCTTAACTTACCTCGTTTATAACAACAACAAAAAACAGAAAAATATATTTTATGTAAAATAAATTTATCTTGTAAAACTTACAGAACTTAAATTAAATGTGCATTAAAAATGATAACAAAAGGTCCCCAAAAACCAACTAACCTGACATTTGTGATGCTACTTCTGTCTTTTTTTCTGTAAGTTTTTCCATGATTATATCCGCTAGTGTCCTTGCTGCCGGTGTTGACTTGTTCATAAATTTTTCCAGAGCTTTCTCATCATCCTCATTTATCTCCTGATAACAAAACAGTTTGGAAACAACCTTAACAACAATTAATAACATACAACAACAGGAAAAACATTTACATAAACTAAAATCTTGTGCCAAAATCTACTACTTACAACAACATCTTCATAATATACTCCATCTTCGTCATCTTCGTCCACCTCATCCTCTTCATCAGAGACTGTTGATGCTCCTAAACTTGTTGTCTTTTTCCTGTTTATCAAAAAAATATCAAATTACTGTAGTAAACCACTTTTCATTCATTGTTTTTACTCTAATTACTTAATAATTAAATATGTATCAATCAAACAACTAATATTCAATAATCATGTTAACATAATTTACAAATTATATTCTCATATAAAGTAGAAGCTTTGTCAATACGATGAGCAATGAATAACAACCTTTGCCTTAATAATATAATAATAGACAGAGCAATATTGTGTGACACCTTTTCGGAGGGGGAGAGCCAGCAAGGGATAGGTCAAGAGAAATATTCTTCTGTCAGGCAGATGAGGTCATCTGCCTGAAAATTATTTATATAAATGGAAATTTAAAAAAAAAATTAAATTATTTTATACATATTAAAAATGTAATAATCAATATCATCAGTAGTTATCTATGTAAGATGTGCAAGTGACCAATGTAATTTCCCTTTTATATTTCTCCATGCTGTTTGTTAAATTTTTGCTTCAAACTTATGTAGAATATTTATATATTTTAATTATAACTTAATGTAAAAGGACTTCATAAAATAAGTTTTTAAATATTTTTCATGGTAGCTTTATTGATCAAAAATTTTTTAATATTTGGAACTATACTTTTGTATATAGATTGTGAAATCATGGAGGAATTAGTTTAGTCAATAAAAAAATAACAAATGATTTGGTAAATTTTAATAATTTTGAACTTAAACCAACTAAATCTTGGTAGTAAAAGAAATAACGAGAGAGAAAGAAGAGAGTATGCAGTATTACAGTACCTTGATGTGGTTACTCCATAGTCAACTTGTAACTCCTCCTGTTGTAACCTTGCCTGATCAAGAATTTTGCGTGACAGCTTCTCATCCACAAACTGAAAAAACAAAAGTCAGAAATTTAAAAAAGAGTTTTTAAAGATATTCTGTTTGATAGAAATATTCTCAAATTACATCAAAAGCAAACATTTAATTTAAATAGTGAAAAAATACTGTTGCATCTGTGGAGTTCATGAGTGGAATTCAACCAATCATGAATTACAGTACCGTAAATGCTTGAATAAACGCCGCAGCACTTATACAATTTTTGAAGGCTTCAGTGCAGCCCTTATTCAAGAGTAGCGCTTATTTGAGAGCTTATTCAAGAACGGAGCTTACAAGAGACATATTGGCATGGCGTTTTCCATGCCCGTTCCCATGTTACCTATCTCACATATTCCCGTAGTTCGCTAGGCCTATCATTATAGGTTCAACGTCATCATAAATAAACGTTTATAAAGAAATACTTGTGTATAATATGTAATCTCGATTAGGCCCAGCGGCGCTTAGTGAAAAAAAAATCACATTTGGTGCGGTGCTCATTTGGGAGAGGCGCTTATTCGAGCATTTACGGTGATCAACAACCACGAAGTCAAAATCCTTTCACATCAGTGGTGGATCCAAGGGGAGGGGGTTCAAGGGGTTCAGACGAACCTCCCTCTGTGAAGAAACATAATAAAATAAACTGGGTCCTGGCTTACAAAAGGCATGCTAACTTAGCTAGGCGTAGATTGAAAGATCAGACAAACTAGGCTTAGCCCAACTAGTTTTCAATAAAATAAACTATACACACTGTTTTTGTTCGCTGTCGTAATAATTTATGTACGAAAGTGTGTTCTTTAGGCATGGATCGGTTTATCGATCCATGGAAGAAAGACTACATATCTAACTATTCAATGTTGTTGGAATATAATAATATAATGCCTGTCTTTGTTTTTTTTCCCTCTATGATAGGCCTAAAGAATGAGATAAAATTACCTGACCTTTTTTCAAGAGGGGGAAAACCTTGAATTTTGAAGAACTTAAAGGTCATTAAAAGACTCCTCAGAAGTCGGGAAAGCTTATTTCCGGCCATCTAAGAATCAAAATTTTCCCGGGCCCCCATTTCATTTTGGGGTTTTTTGAGAACATTTTGAACTCCCTCTTTTAAATCCTGGATCTGCCCCCCCTGCAAATGATCACTTTGAACAAGATTCATTTAACTACAGTACCCAGATTGTAAAGTAGCCTGCATGGGAAATGCATCCGCCACGCCAGCCAAGATTTCCAGGCAGATTTCATAGAGAAATGTGAACGAAAATATCAATCCAATGTATTGCTCCACTAGAAAGTGGCTTTGTTAAATTCGATTCCTAGCAGGCCTAGCTACCATTTATATACACACATAACATAACTAGGCTCGGGACTAGGCTAGGCCGAACGTCCAAGGCTCGTTGCTAGCCTACCAAGGGCATTCGGGCCATAACGATAAACAGGCTCGTACATAAGTATCACTATCAGCCTAGGCTAGACTAGGCCTAGTAGAGGCCTAAGGCCCTAGGCCTAGCCTAGCTTAAGGTCTAGCCTAGGGCCTACTGTAGCCAGACAGAGGGCCTACCATTTCTTCATCATCTTGACGCTGTCGTGTCTTATTCCTTTGAGTTTCTCTGACTGACTTATTTTCAAGAATTTGTTCCGACAAGGAGACATTTTGATGGACAGAATCACCTGCTCCTTTTCTCAGTTTCCCTTTTTTTGCTTTACCCATCTCCGTTCAAATAGCACGTGTGTGTTGTGTTCTGTTCATGGTTCTGTTACTGTTATGATAACTACACTCCATTGCGCCAATGTTTAAAATGCGTCAAGCACATCTTCAAACGCGTTTTCCAAGAGACGTTATACGTGGTGCAAACACTTTGTGACGTCACCCCGCGCGTTAAGGTAGAGCAAGGAGGTACTGTATTATACCGGTCGGTAGTATGGGTAGAGCCCCGATATCTAACCCCCGGCCCGCGGCCAAACCAGTGGTGGCGCCAGGACCTGCCCGACGGAGGGGCTAAAGGCCCC